AGCGAATATTTTTGCAGAGATGTTCGCAGCAAACTCTACTTTAGATTCCCAAGGAAAACTGCCGCCAGACATTCCACCCGTTGAGAGTCGAATGCCCGAAATCGTCTTCCGTCAACGCACCATCAGACGAATTTTGCTTGGTCTCAAAACGAATAAGGCTAACGGTCCTGATGGAATTCCACCCATTATCCTCAAAAAATGTGCACCAGAATTAACACCGATTCTCTGCAAGTTGTTCACCATCTCGTACAGGTCGGGTATCTTTCCATCATGCTGGAAGACAGCTAGAGTCCAACCAATCCCCAAAAAAGGGAACAAGAACCTGCCCAACAACTACAGGCCCATTGCCCTGTTATCAGTGATCTCCAAAGTGATGGAGAAAGCCATCAATATTGAGCTTATCAAATATCTAGAGAGCTCAGGAATCATCAATGATAGACAATACGGCTTTCGCCACCGAAGATCTACTGGAGATCTACTTGCCTACGTCACCCATTTATGGCAATCTTCAATAGAGAAACACGGGGAATCTCTAGCTGTCGCGTTGGACATATCGAAAGCATTCGACCGTGTTTGGCACGAAGGACTCCTCCACAAACTACAATCATACGGCTTACCACCTCAGCTATGCCATCTCTTATCGAGTTTTCTTTTAGGCAGATCGCTCTACGTGGTAGTGGACGGTGTATCGTCTGATACCATTAGCATCAATTCCGGCGTTCCACAAGGATCCATTTTGGCACCAACATTATTCCTGCTTCATATCAATGATCTGTTGGGAGTAACAACTTGCCCCATCCACAGCTTTGCAGATGATAGTACCCTCCATACTGCGTTCTCTTCCAAAATTCCCATTTCTTCCCAGGAAACAAAGAACTCACGGCGCAGGCAGGTCAATGCTGTCAATGAAGATCTTGCTGAAATCACAGCCTGGGGAACGAACAACCTAGTTGAATTCAACACCACCAAAACTCAAGCCTGCATTTTCTCTAGAAAGGCGGAACTCAGTATGCCCGATATTGTAATGTCTGGCTCCACCATCCCCACCAAGCCCACCATATCTATGCTCAGTATTTCCATCAGCAACACTCTTTCATGGGATATTCATGTCAGATCCATCGCAAAAGCTGCTTCACAAAAACTCGGATTCTTGTTCCGTGCTAAAAGCTACTTTACACCTCAACAGCTTCTCATGATCTACAAAGCGCAGATACGGCCTGTTCTAGAATACTGTTCCCACATATGGGGTTCAGCACCAAAACATACGCTGATGCTCTTAGATTCCATCCAGAGAAGAGCCATTCGCCTGGTGGGTGACGCCACACTCACTCACTCTTTGACATCATTGGAACACCGTAGAAAGGTCGGCGACCTTTCACTTTTCTATCGATACTTCCACGGGAAATGTTCTTCGGAAATCTCTGCAATCACCCCTTCACTAGCAATACCAATCAGACGAACTAGACAAGCCCAGTCAGCACATCCTTTCGTTGTCAACCTCGAAAGATGTCGAACAGCACTTTATCAAGACTCCTTCATCCATAGAACGGCTAGGCTCTGGAATTCATTGCCTGTGGAAGTATTCCCAACAACATATAATCTCCAAAAATTCAAAAAAAATTCCAATACCTACCTCCTGTCCCTATCCTCCCTAGGAACGCACGATGTTCTTTGAACATTATAGGGATTCCCTTTCGTGCGCTCCAATAGATAAAAAAAAATATATAGGTTCATCACAAACATAACGGTTTCACATCATAGTGCGAGTCAACATGATTTGGATCTGCTTTGGAAAACATGAACTTCGACAGGACGTCCCTGCAACGTCATGAAACTGACGTCTCATTTCAACCATCTAAGTGACGTTCACTCGACGTCGAGATGATGACGTTATTATCAAGTCATAGAAAGTATGTTATAGAAACGTTATAGATTGGTGTGAGACGTCACCGATGAAAATCACCAATTAGGGACGTCACAGTGACGTGATCATTCGTCATCTGGTTGACTTGGCAGGGACCACAAATGATTGTTTTCTGGAATCGACTCAAAAGTCGTCCATTTTTGTTCCAAAATTAGCTCTTGAAGATGACGTTTTTCTTACTGACTCAATGAAATATTAGTGATGTATATTGCCTCTCAACCCTTTTACTGTCGAGGAGCTAGAGTTGAAGTTCAATTCCTAGAAAACAAAAGTGTGTGCTGATATGATAGCTGCTTCGCCACTGGCATGCTCAAGTGACTAAAAATAGTAGTAACTTCACCTATATTTCATCAAAAGAATATCAACTATTCCGATCGCAAAAAACAGTATGTTGACATCATCTCCTAAAAAAACAATGTACTATTTTTTATATTATTATTTTGTTTCACCCCATTATTGATTTCTTTAAATTTGACTCAAGATGATAGGTGAAAAAAAAAAGTATACAGAAACACCTATTTTCCCCTGCTTTTCAAAATTTGTGAATAGGATTCGAAAATTTTGATATACAGTGTGTTGTTTCGTATCGGAACCTACTCCATAATGTTTTCAAGGCCGGCCCTGGAATGAAACTTGTTATCTTTATGTCAATCGTCACCACTGTAGACGAAGAACATACAAACTGAAAATAAGAAAGTGCATAGAGATGTTCAGAAGTTAAAATTAATTGAAAATATAGGGAAATTGAATAAATCACCCTGTATCTTGGATATGAAATATGATAGACTCATGAAATATGAATTATTCAGAAGCATTTCTGTGTCCTCCATCTACCCTTACTGAATGCGCTCATCCAATGAATCACCCTGTATAGGTGATACATCGCAGGTAGAATTTTATTTGAAACAACATGATTACCTATTTCAATCATCATATCATTTTCCTAGTATAATAGATTGATATTTGAAATCTTGAAGAATTTTGGAATTTTACCCTTGTGGAAAAAATTTATTTAACTTTTTGTTTGAAGGTGAATGAAGATATACAGCAAAAATCAATATGACAATATTTGTTGAAACTACTGCTAACTCAACGAATTGGAGAATTGTGCCCTGAATCTGTATTTTGATATTCAATATTGGGAAAGGAATTATTACGAGTATTCCAAGAAGGAATATGTGAAGAGAAAAATGATAATAATGTGTGACAGTCACAACGATTCATTAGAACCTGAAACGTGAAGACGAAGTCAGTGATTATTCCTCGTTTTCCTAGTCCTAGTTTTCTAGTTCCAAAATACCAAACGACTGCCTAACTAAATGAATATTTTTAATGTTGTAGGTTCTATTCATTTCAAAATCCAGGAATCTCAAGAATCTATTTTGTACTTTTTCGATTCTTAGTTAATATAAATTATATCCTGGATTCCAAATTACACTGGCAACATTTTATTTGCTATAGGTAAACAAATGCAAAGAAGAGAGATTTTAATGATTTCTGAAATTAAAAATTTCACAAATTCGAGTGATGAAGCCCAACAATTCAATAAATTTACTTATTATACAGGGTGAATCGATAGTGTGTTCTCCTTCTATATCAGCCAAACCCTCAGAAATATAGAAAAAATTCGAATACAACAATTATTATGGGGTTTCTTGAGAACTATCGCCTGAAATTATTTTCATATCTTTAGGATGTTCGAGTTCCAAGACATCGGTTAATGATGGGTGTTTTCAAATGAGACACCCCGTATATCATTACATTTTTATATTCTTCCTCAAGAGCTGATTTCATCAATGTATCGCCCTTGGGGACTAGCTGAAATGTTTATAGAGATATAGGGTGCTCATAATATATATTTTTCAATTTTGTGATTTTTTTGTGATAAATCTATTTATTATTGGTCAAAACATCTCACATGTCCCTATCTCAACTTTCAATTCACCATCTACTGACACTCAATTGGAACAAATACAGGGTGGTTCAAAATTCAAGATTTCTGATCACCCTGAATCTATTCCAATTAAATTTCAGTAAATAGAGAATCGAACATTGATATAGGGACATGTGAGCCGTTTCGACCAATAATGAATAGTTCTGACACAAAAAAATCCCAAATTTGAAAATTTTCTATTCTGAACACTCTTTATCTCTGTAATCAGTTTCGCTAGACCCCAAGTATGATACATTGATGAAATCAGCTCTCCAGAAGAATTTTAAAAATGCAATAATATACAGGGTGTCCCATTCAGAAACACCCATCATCAGCCGATATCTTGGAATTCGAACATCCTATAGATATGAGACTGATTAGAGTTGATAGCTCCCATAAAATTCTATAACTGTTGTATTCGAATTTTTTCAATATACCTGACGGTTTGACTAATATCGAAGAATATCAAGAATAATCTATTATTTCCGCAATATTGTGGAAACCTCAGAAGATCAGAATTAAGATTTGCACAGTCTTTGCGATTTTCATGTAGTTGAAGTTAACTTTCATCTCGTTATGTTTTTTCCGTCTCTTATATTATAGTCCACTCCACCCATTTCTTCAAATTTCATCTACATTTCACGTATTCATCAAGAATCCGTGATATTCATTGCCTGTGGAAGTATTCCCAACAACATATAGTCTCCAAAAGTTCAAAAAAATTCCAATACCTACCTCCTGTCCCTATCCTCGCTAGGAACGCACGATGTTCTTTGAACATTATAGGGATTCCCTTTCGTGCGCCTTGAGCGATAAAAAAAAATTCAAAGGCAAATAGGTATGGTCTTAAAATGTTTTATTGTATTGTGATTAATCATCATGGGAAGATGTGGTGTGTCAGTTTGGAGAAGACGACGAATATTATATTTTGCTAATGATAAATATTATTACATTGTGTTCGATTGATTTAATATGAACCTACTCAAATTGCATTGATGTTCTCAACATAGTTTGCACAACCAGATGAAATCTGCTATGATAGAATTTATTGAGCAGTGAATGCCAGTCTGGTCATGAATAATATTATAATATGCGCAACTGATATGCATATCATTTGAACATTCTTGTAATACAATGAGTCACTTTATCGTGACCATTATTTCGCCTGTAGATCATTACTGAGGAATACTATTCGAATCTTCACCACACCTCTCATTTTAATACGGTACAACATCTTCACCATCCTGTGACCTTTCGAGAGAAATAGATGCATTAAACTCAAATGAATGCATCGAAAAAAATGTGTAATAGTTTGAGGGGAAGACAAACTAATGAATATTACATTCATCTTTAGCGGTAATCCACTATATATAAATCAGGTGCTCGATACAAGGATTACATTTAGTTTTCTAGTGACCGTAGGAATTCAACGATGATCTCTTTGGTGAGTGTGTGTAATGATATATTGGGTGCCAAAGTGTTAAAAGTGTTTTCCGCAGTTATACGCGAAAGGTAACACAGTATTGTGATACCCCTTTGCCTCATAGATACGTTTTTCCATTTCTGAATCATTCGGTGTATCATAAAATACCATATCTTTATGTAGCAATTTTTTGGTGATTCAGGAGTTTAGAAAGAGCATCCCTACAAGTCATTTTCCATTAGAAAATTTCAGGCAGAACTGAAAGTCTCCAAGTCCTGTTAGAGATGTTGTCGAATGGATCACGTATATGTTTTCATCGAAACATCAATAAATACTTTTGATGAGTATCTATTTCTTGCATTTCCTATAATAGAATGAGAAGCGATTGAATTTCCTTTGGAATTGGAAGGATTGTTCACACCCTGCTGTCAATCTGTTATTATTCAACATATTCTGAAAAATCATGACGTGCATATCGTCATGAACGTGATGCTCATAATATCTATTCTGAAGTTGCATGCATGATTTTCATCAATAGTATTCACATCATTTACATCATCATATGAACTCATTTTCGAAATTCAGCCTAAGACGAAATTCCATCGTATTACTCGTGAACTTTTGATTTTCATTGTATCCACATGGACAAAGGCATACTTCAATGAAATAGGTATTGATTCACGATTTGATATATTTTTTTAATTGTTTTGAATTGTGGAGCTTGGAGCGCAAGTACCATAAAACAGTATATCTTGTTTCTACAAGAACCAAAGCCTACTGTGTACCTACATTTTCAGAGGTAAATCGTATCATCGCGAGAAACATCTAATTCTGATCGTTTTTTTTTTTTCATAATGATAAATCTATGGATGACAAAGCAAGAGAACTGTAGAAAAACATTTTCTGTAATGCATGACATATCAGACAATAAGCTACGCCTTCTATTCCGTGATAACTAGAAGAATAAACTATTTATTCAAATTCTTAGATCATGAAAATAATAAAGACGATATCATAATTATTATAATTATTATTATCATTATCATTATTCTATATTATTCCATCATTGAAGTGAACAGTTTGACAAAAAATAATTGTTCATCCAGATGTCGAAATGAGGTACATTATTTATGTTGGTGATAATAATACTTATAATATATATATATATATATATATATATACTTATACGATATTGTTCTAATTCTGTGCTACTCTGTGACTGCATGGGTAAAACTATCTGTTGAGTTGCCTATTCATGTAAATAAATAGATAAATAAATAAATAAATAAATATACGAAATGACCCTGTACATATTCTAGCATGACTTCAGATCATATATAATGTCTCTTCTAGAACAACCATGCAATGTTCCAGAGGGGACAATTCTTCAAATTTTTTTGCACGGTCACCCTCAATATTTCAAGGGTCGTATAACATTCGAAATCTGCCTTAGGATGTCCCAATCGGTACAAGAACTGTTATGATTTCTGAAGAAACTTCTATTGATAATTAATGATTATGAGTTATGAGTTAAGTACAAGAACATTCTTCCAAAAATTCAATTTCATGAGATCTCGCCTCAAAGACGTCCTCAGAATGTGCTGTATACGATTATGAATGTGTCCCAAGGGACATCTATCGGTGGTATACATTGGCATCAGGACTTCAGATATATATCCTATATAAATGTCCTCCACGCAGGTGATGATTCTTGTTCAATGTCCTAGAAATAACGTCCGACGGACGTCCCAGTTAGTAGGGTCAATATATTATCTCTATGACGTTAACTTACACCTTGCAGACGATCGACCTCTTGTAGTCCTTCACGTGAGATCATTGGACATCCTTGGAAAAAATCTTCATGATAACTTATACTGAAAGCTCATTCTTGTTGATCCTTTCTACTTCTTGTGGAACTCAATGATTATCACTGACAAAAATAGAGCAACACTCTCCGTATATTGATGTTGATGCGGCCATAAAGAAAATGCGGCTGTGAGTCAGATGAATGAGTGCAGTGAAAGTCATGGTATCAAGATTCACCCTAATCTTTTTTTTGCAACTTATGCTCTTTCCACATTAATCACTTGAATGACTATTGATTCAACCACTTGAGAAGCACTGAATAATTTCAAATACAATATTCGTTCCACTAATCCGCACTATTTTCCATGGAAATTTATATCTTGAAGTTCACTGCACTGTCATGGAATTATTTATTCAACAAATGCACAATACATAATATAGTTTGTGATCGATTGACTTCATCAACTATTATTGACAGTGCATCGTTATAGCTGAAACCTAGTACTTGAATTATAATAACTCATATTGTGACGAGATCAGTCCTGCAAAATGTTTTCTGAACCTTTCGGGGTATGGTATACTGTGGCAATCACATTCTGAATCTATCTGAATCCATATCTGATATATGTAGTTCATGAGTTTTTCTTGTAACAATATTGTGTTCATGCGTACCTAGTTATTCGATGACAAAATTGAATCCAGGAGTAAAGTTGCGCAATTTGATGCTGATCAGAATGTTACATCAAAAATTTGTGAATTCCGAAGATATTCGAGGAAAACTGAACTCCGCGATTTCGTTTTCATGTTTTTTTCACTTTTGAAGTTATATAACAGAATGAGTAATATATTCTCATGACCACTTTTTTCGCTCCATCCAATAGTATTGATAGATTTGTGATTCGACGTTTCGTCTTCGAGGAGCTATCATCATCAACATAATACACTTTACGTCATACGCCATTTCGCATCAGAAAATCATCATCATCAGTGTTATTTGATGATGGTCACGATCGAACGAAACATCGGCGTCGAATAAGAAATAAGTTGATCTTGTGGAGAAGGCAGAATGGCTGCAGTAATGTCGAGCTTATTTTGGTTTATCTCTTTCAGTAAAATCAGAAAACATCATTTGTTAGAATTTATATTTGTAATTGCCGGAACTCTTATCTAATTCTATAAAAATAAGTAGATAAGAAGATTCACTGACCAGCGTTCGATCCTTTGATTTCCAATCCATATACCGGGAATTAAAAATGATTGAGGATTCATTATTCCAAATTTTTTGGGATTTTTTCTCCTCGTTTCTATAAAATAAAAATATAAATATTATTTCAATATACGTGTAGTAAGGACAAATCAGATGATTTGCCCCAAAATGTCACTGCGTTTAAAGAATGTTCCTATCAGAGAGCCGTAAAGAAAAATTCACTAGCTTGTCAGTGACAATTTGTATTGAAAAATTTTTGGAGAAGAGAAATAAAGGTATATAGAAAAAATATCAAATTTTCACTCATCTTTGGACGTTTCGGAACCGATTCTGCTCCCGTTTTCAACATGAAGAGATTTTTTCAATTGCAGACAGTATGATTGAGGATATTCATCATACTTAGCAATGGATTTTCTCTTGGTTCCTATCGTTTCAAAATGGCCGAAGTGTTTTCACGATTTTCGTCAATTAGTTGAGTCTAGATTATTATCAAAAATCATTTTTATCAGTGAAAAAAATTATCTCATGTTCGGAAAAAAACGTGATATAATATGCATATACTACATTTGTCATAGAAATGCCAAAATTTCTAGCCTGCAGGAATTATCTGAAAGGACATCACCTCATTCACCTCATTTTGCAAATCGTGACAATACTTGGGAGTTTCGAGAAACCAGGGGAATGATACGCAAGACCAATAAATAACTGTTTATATCAATTTCTCCATTATATAGGGTGTTTCATTGGGAATGGGTAATAATTCAATTGTGGATAGGGGTCACTGGGATGATTTGAAAAATCCCATGGCTAATTGGTCTTCGACTTCTTATAACCGAGATACAGGATGTTTCATCAATTTTGTCCATATCTTCATTATCTCGTAACTTTCCAACCAACCTGTATATATATTTGAAAATTAGTACACTTGCTCAATCTACCCTGTGAAATTGATTGAGGCAACAACAAAAGGTAAAATCCAGGTACGGCTTCACTTAAGATTCAACAATTCTTTCTGCCAGAAAACAACACCCTATACATTCGAATTTCTCATTGTCTTTTTGCCATATCTGAAAAGAACATCAACATTTCTATTCAACGATGTGCTTTTTATTCGTGCACAGACGAGATTAATCGATTTAATTACTTCCTATTCAGTATACGTGAGTATTACATTTAGGAGGAATATTTCATATCGTTCTTTGTTCCAGACTTAGTTGCAGGTCCGTCATCAAAACTATACCGGGCTTTTCACGATAAGCTTTAATTCGATGTTTCTGGCAAACCCGGCAACGGATAAATCTGAAATTTCGATGGTATGTATGAATTAACATAATCTACACTACTGAAATATTTGAAACGATCCGGCATTGCCGCTTCTACTAGAAAGTTGCAGCAACTTCGATTTTTCAAATTGGACACCCTGTATTTCATCACATTCTTGGATTTTTGCTGTACAGCAGAATTCATCGATTCAAAACATTCAAGGTCTAGCGGGACTGATAACTGAGATATAGAATGTGGAAAATCGAGATGTTTCAACTTTACAAATGTTTTGTGTTGAAACTATTTATACTTGCATGGTCAAAACGGCTTCAATGTCCCAATCTCAACTTTCCATTCGATATTCAATTGAAACAGATACAGGGTAGTGCAGAAATCTGAATTATGAACCATCCTGTATTTGTTTCCATTAAATGTCAATAGATAAGTTAAGATAGGGGCATAAAAGCCGTTTTGACCAATAATAAATATTTTCGCAAAATAATTCTAAAGTTGAAACATATCGATCCTTCTCACTCTAAATATCTCAGTTACTAGTCCCACTAGACCCCGAACTTTGTGAATCGATTGAATCAGCTCTTCAGGAAGCATCCATGGTGTCCCATTTGAAAAATCAAAGTTACTGCTACTTTCGAGTAGAAGCGGCAACGCCGGATTGTTTCAAATATTTCAGACGTGTAGATCATGTTAATTTATACATACCTTCGAATTTTTGGATTTATTCGTTGCCTGGTTTGCCAGGAACATCTAATTAACGCTTATCGTGAGAAGCCCTGTATAGTTTCGATGACGGACCTGCAACTGAGTCTGGAACAAAGAACGATATGAAATACTCCTTCTCAATGTGGTACTCACGTATACTGAATAGGAAATAATAAAATTAATAAATCCCGTCTGATTCCAATTTTGTACCCCAAAATGAGCAAAAATAATATTTTGAGCACATGATATGAATAGTTAAAATCGTCTGTGCACGAATGAAGAGCACATCGATGAATAGAAATTTCGATGTTCTTTTCAGATATGGCAGAAAAAAATGAGGAATTCGAATGTATAAGGTGTTGTTTTCTGGCAGAAAGAATTCGTGAATTTTAAGTGAAGTCGGACCTGGATTTCATCTTTTGTTGTTGCTTCAATCAATTCCACAGGGTAGATTGAGCAAGCGTACCAATTTTTAAAAATATATACAGCTTTGTTGGAATTTATGAGACAATGAAGATATGGACAAAATTGATGAAACATCCTGTATCTCGGTTATAAGAAGTCGAAGACCCATCAACCAGTGGTTTTTTGAAAACCCCTCTGTGACCCCTATCCTCAGTTGAATTATTTACCTTTCCCAATGAAACACCCTGTAGTTTGCACCTAGATCATTTCCCAGGGCATATGAAAATGATTCGCAAGAATACCACTCATAAGAATTTGTCAAACTCCCAGATCGCATTGTTACCTAAGCAATTTGGAATTTACATAAGTCAAACTTTGAGCTGTTGATTCTGAAATGCGTTTGGAATCTTGTCATTCGAATCAGAATAAAATAGAAGATGTTTTTTATCAATTTGAAAGGACGAGTGCACTCCTGTGACATCCAGGATATGAAAGCGTCACAATGAACATTATTGGTCTGTGAATAAGCCACTACAGAAATGTTATATCGAAGGAGCCATCAGAGGTGTTGCGAAATCTATGGTGGCAACAAGATGATATTTACAGATATTTTATACCTTTTATTATTTCCTGGTGAATGGATTGAGAATCAAGGGGGCGTACGCACGTACTTATCACTTTATCTAGACTGCTAGTAGTCATATCGCAGCAACCCGAAAATGTAGAGTCAGTTGTTCGCCTGAGAACGCTTATGCGTAACACGCTATAGAACCTCCAAACTGTCGTTGTTTATAGGCGGCGACGAGGTCGATGACGTCGTCTTAAGTGTTTCATTCATGTCAGTGGTCGGCTTGATGAAAATATAATATGAAAATTAAGAGGTGTTATAAGTTTTTTTGTTTCATTTTCTTCAATCCTAGCTGATATGAAGTGGTTTGTTCTTTGCTGTTAGAATTCCATGAATAATTATTCTGGTATTTGTTTTCATTATTGAAATTGTGGGTAATTAATAACTCACTATTTGAATATGCTTCCATCAGTTGAGCAACTATTTAGATTGGATCGAAAAATACATGTTTTGTATATATTCCTTCACTTGTAAAGAATTTGAACTCAAGTGTGAGGTGATATACCTGCTCATCTATATTTTGGATCGAGATTGCAATAATTACTGTAGAATTCCTGAGGATGAGAAAAATGAATGGTTCGAGGCTATTAGGAGATCATTGGAGCCTAGTCACTTAGGAATAATTCAAACTATTTTACACCAGACAGTTTTCTGATGTTTCCAGGCAAGTCGACGACATTGAAACCATATGCGAATTAGTCGTTTTTGGAAAAGAGAAAATCTGAGTATTGGAAGCTATGAGACCTGAATACTGCATATTTCATACATCTCTCACTACTTTATGTTTAGTTTAACAACCTTCCATAGTAGACTTCTCTCATCCTTTTCATTTTCGATACGCCTATGTTCCTCGAATTCATGAGTGTTACATTAAATATCCTGAACGCGCATGATTCAGTTCCACCAGGTCGATCTCCTGGAGATTAGCGTCTGCGGACGGCCGCAAGTAATAACTCCGTGGTGGGAGAACGTTAAAGTGGGCAGTAGATGCGACTGGCGTTATGCGGCGCCGACTGAATGACTTCACATACTTCGTCTCGTAAGCAACTGGTTGGCTCAGTAAGCAGAGCATCAGCGTTCCAAGCCGGCGGGCCGGGGTTCGAATCCGTGCGAGGCTCATCTTTTTTTTATTTTTTTCTTGTTCTCAAGTGATTTCTAAAAAATATTCTCTATGGAAAATAGGTTCATTTAGGGGTTTTCTATGTTTAGGCCAGAGGTGAGGTTCGGTTAGGTTAGGTTAGAATAGAATAGAATATTTTATTTGGTGTTAATAAACATTAAGTTTTACACAGGTCAACGAAACAAGTACAGATATACTCATGAAATAGATAGGTAAGGTTTTCTCATTTTTTATGCAGAAACAATATTTTTTTTCCTCAAGAAAAATTCTCCTTCTTCAAGAAAAAAGGGCCATCTAGGTCGATTGATTGTTAAAAAAAAATTCCTTCCTTATATTAGACTCGACACAAGTTAACTAACGTTCCCCTACCACGGAGTTATTACTTGCGGCCGTCCGCAGACGCTAGTCTCCTGGAGTGGCTTACGTTTTTCCTCAGAGAATTGGCGGTCAAGATTAGTCATCGGTGGTCGTAAGCTAGCCAGCAAGAAGTCCAGAATACCATTGGAGAACGCGAAAAAAATGAAAATAATAATATTATTCTTCTCTAATATTATTCTAACACCACCACCATTGAATAACTTATATTTCCCAAGTTCTCAATCGTATTCCATTATTTATGGCAACTGTGCTATGGTCTGCCCTTACTCACGAAATTGAAACGTCAGTTTCCACTCGTAGTAAATTTCTAGCTGTTCTTGAATCATCTGGCATCATTGATCATTTCAGCACATCGAAATCGACCGAAAAATTTTAACAAAATATGAAACTGAAAGGTATTTGAGTGAATATACTATTCGAAGAATGGAAAAAACTTACAATCGCCTGCAATGCAATATTGTCGGAATTTAACCAACATTGTATCTGTTATGATTATATAGATTTCCATGATATCCCCCGATCTTAGGACACCCTGTGAATACCAGTTGAAATTAGTCCAAATGTTATTTTTGTTTCTTATAATTAAGTTGATTTTGTTCATTCCTTAGGTGGTTCTATTAAGCATAACTGGCCTTGCGTTAGGACAATATCGACCAGTTCCATCAAGTCCTGGACAAATAGTGAGGATTATCAGTCAAACACAAGATGGCCCAAATCCCGATGGATCTTACTCTTGGAGGTATGCAATCATAGACAGGGTGTTTCCCTAAACGTAGACGATGAAGCAAACCTAAAAATTGTTTTGAAAATTTTCGGAAAATGTGCGCTCCCACCATACTACATCTTTCAACAATTATTGAACATCCGGCAATATTGCAAAGGTCATTGATACTTCCAGTACTTCTGATCTCACCAGAAGCAAATTTTTGGGTTGGTTCATCATCCTCTGATCGATATGATCCACAAAAATTTCTGGCAAACTTTGAAATTCAATATCTTCCACAACATTTTTTTCACAAAAATGTATTCTTTCATTTGGTTGTTATATCGAAGACTGGAACCTTTGACACGATAATACACTACACTGTTTTACCACTAACCGAAACGATTTTTTAACGCCTCGACACGTGTTTCGCTAACTATGTTGGCATCTCCAGAAGAAGATTGAAACAGTTTTAATCTTCTACTGGAGATGCTTACATAGTTAGCGAAACACGTGTCGAGGCGTTAAAAAATCGTTTCGGTTAGTGGTAAAACAGTGTAGTCATTTGGTTGTGTTCTTTTGTCTTTTTGTCTCCTATCATTAATGGCATTAATAGTCCCAATTTTGGAAACAACCAAGTATTCAAAGTGATTCCAGAAAATAACCAACCCTAAATATCCATTGAGATCGATTGAGTTCATCAGGAACACCATTCATTAAATTCATATCATATTCATGTTAAAGTTAGTAACAAGTTCAAATGTGACTTGAATGAAGTCAATAATTACTACATCAGTATCTATTTGTGGAGTTCGAGCGTGCTCTCATCATTCTTAGTTACTTATTCGATTTCACTTTCAGCTACTATGGATACATTTCGAAGATTTATCAGTTGAGGTGATGATAGTGATCAAAATCTCCGGAAGTTTTTGACTCTTATTTTGAGATATTTCGCGATCAAGAACATTATTTCATTGTCACTCTGTTTCAATGGCCTGGCGAATTGCCCATCCCCAGTATATATACGGATACACTACCATATCATCCAGGCATCTTTCCATATTCATTTTCATAGGGTGAGGCAATGGCGATTCATCTAGTTCTATGAGAGCTAGAAACATGGAACACCAAAACAATCTTAAGAGTTGCGGTTCTTTAAGCATACCTGTGACCGCTATCCACCTCTTCGATATCATTGGATGAATCTGGATTACAACAGGGTAACGAATTTTCATGTCGTAATAATGTCATTGAATCCAGATGCTATACCAAAAAATCACTGTCGTCGTGATCATGATATTCAAGAGGAAATAATCATGCCCTCCAATTATTGTCGGTTGCTGAAAAAATTGGAATGAAGTGTATTAGTCAGTTTCCGATTCTGGAATCAATTCATCCATTAAAAAATATAAGATTATTGAATTACTGAAATGAACGTTCTTCACATGACAGGCTGGCCTATAATTTTTGAAGTTCAATAATTCATGAATGGTGACAATCATCAATATGGTTGCTGAGACGATATATTCGCGTGTTAATATCCAGTATGACATGGTCAGGAAATATATGGAGTATACCATCTGAAAAACTCGATAACAATCACTTCAAAAAGTTTTGGATTGAAAAATAATTGATAGCCACCCTGTATGATCTTCGATATGATGATACTATTGTAGAGGTCGATGGGGGTTGCGAAAATGCTTCGATACAGGTGCTTATATACATGGTATCCATTCCATTCGAAAAATATGTCTTAGAATTCCTCATTTTTTTGAGCGCCATTCATATGCAACAAAAAAATCTAGATCTGGTCCTTCTTGTCTCATTCACACTCATTTTTATAATGTTTTTATTTATCATAGAACACGAACGATCAAGCTTCGAGGCACTATTGACCAACTCTGTATACATTTAGTTTCGAATATTCATTGAACACATTGATCTCCAGAAACACCGAACATTTTGGGAATCCAGTAGATGATCCATTCAAGATTGAGAAATCCATATTAGCAAATGTCCCAGATGGAAATAATGTTATTGTATATAAGCTACTTATTGTTATGATGATAAACATGCACAGCGGATTCGAATATACATGGTATTTTGTTAGCCGACGTATATCTGGAAGGAGGTGGTAGGTAATGTGATTTTGAACCTATTCATTCCTCATAATAATGAATACTCTTATACACAGTGTCACACTGTTCAAGAAATCACCGCTCATGGGTATGGAAAAGGAATATTCTCAGATATATTATGAACATGAAAGAAATGGATAAACATATATATATGGCGGTCTTATTGTCCTTAATATATCTGAGAATATTTCTTTTCAATACTTTGATACCCAATCAAGGAGTATAAACTCGAACGATTCAAAGTTGTTATGTTTGAATTGTTTATAGACCTGTTATCGCAGATACCTGATTGAATTCTCCCAATTCAGAAAATCTTTCCACACCCTCTATGATGAATTTCACTTCGATGTTACAGTGATCGTTCTTCAAATTCTAACGAGGCAAAATATTGTTCTTCACATTCAGGTCTCATAACGAGTTCAATTTCAACGAAAGACGTTTCAAAATGCTCGAAGAAACTTTCATTATAACCCATATGTACCAATCAAATTCGGTTCATTATATGGGAAAAACTTTCAATAACAAACTATTCCGAAATTCGACTATAGGGCGTGGAGTTTTGCTTAAATAAATTCAAAAAAATTCAATACTTGGTCACGTGACTATAGTATAACATGTCGAAAATGTCATGTTTTCGAATCATCTGATGAAAATTGGAAAAATGGCTTCTTTGTTGGAATTTCAGGCAATATTACTGAAAAAAGGTTGTTTCGAACCCAATTTCACTAGGTGAGTCGAATTCGAACGTTAAATAACCAATTGAAGTTTTTGTTATTTTTCAATATCTACGAAATGTCTGAAATATGAAAAAAATCAACAGCGACAAACCTATCACATTCTATAGAACCTTCATCATGTTACTAATTTTCAATCACTAATTGGCAACAGAAATATGATTTTCTTCAGAAAATAATCATCTTTGCTTGAAATTTTGATTATGTTTGATGCACGTATCGTCTCATATCTTCAGGATCGGCAATCATTCAAATTAATTTTTCCAGAACTGAAATGTTGCTTAAGTTTTCTATCAAAATATCATCTAATCACTCCAAATATCTATCTAATGTTCAGGGCAGTTTCGTCGAATTCACAATTAGAAGGAGCCAAAATATATCATTAACTAAAAGTTGCAATGAAACCGTCAGATTCGAGACACATGTACAAATTCTAATAGAAGCAACTTCCTCCAGTTTTTCCGGAGTTCAAACAGATGAGCATATTTTCAGCGATTAAATTGGCAAAATGAGAATTTTGGAATGAAATAAAACAAAATAACGTAACTGCGATCGAGCAGGCCATTTTTCATCTTTTTTCAGCGAATCTTAACGCCCAAGTCGCATTTCAAGATAAACTATTATTAAAAATATTTCCCATATAATGCCAACTTCATGCATGATACTATTTATGATTGAATATATTCAAAATGTCTTCAGATATACGTCGGTGAATCAAACACACTGTATAGTGGACACTTCTGACTATATATCAGTTAAACAAACCTCTAAATTCCAGAAAAATATCAGATTCATGTAACCAGTAGTATATTCAACACGAGGTATTATTGTAATCAATACATTGTGGAACAGCTTATTCTGAGTGGAATCCATTGAATTCCAGATATAAAATTATAATAGTACATATTCAATCATCACTCTACCTTCTCTAGCACAGATTCGAAATTTATGTACTGGAATCAGTGTACTTTCATCACTCACTTTTTTTGTTAGCAATGATTTTACAATTTTACTACAGACATTGGAAATTGTGAAATTTTCTCATTGATATGTATAGGTACTTCTGATTGATATCGATGTTATGCTCATCTCTATACTGGAATCAATTCAAACAGAAACTATTTTTTCATATCTTTTGGAGCGCATGAGAAGAAATCCATGTATACTGAATTTCCTCCTTAAATCCTTCAAGGTTATGACTCCTTCGAAAAATACTTGCACTGGCAAAGAATAAAAAACTTTGCCGTTCTATAGACAAATTAGTTATGATATGGATTTTTTATGTTGCTTCTTCAATTGAGTCATTTTGACACTCAAATGTGTTCCAAAACAGTTTTCATTATTACAAGTTGAATTTTTTCTTTCGACGTTGGCAACTGTAACGTCAAACTGTCATGCAGACATGATTGACACGAAGTTTTGTGTGATTTTAGAATGAATATTCAAAAATATTCAATCTCTGTTATCAACTACTTTCTTCAGTTGAATATTCCTGATATTTGATGAAAATTATGAAAATAAGAGGACAAATGAATGCAATATGAAAATCAGTATATTACACACGTTTTATAAGTCGTTTTTCCTAAGCATTCCTTGCATCGTTCGTCGTTTTCCGAACAACTCGTGTGAAAAAAATAGTGTCTCATTAAACTTGTATAATAAACTATTTTCGACATGATTTATCAAGGTTGACGACAAGAGGATGTGATGACTGGGCTTGTCGAGTTCATCTGACTAAAATTGACTTTGATGGAATGATAGCCAAGATTTCTGAAGGTTATTTTTTCCTGAAAGGAATAGAGAGGAAATTCAATTCGATATTTCTCTGACCTGAATCATTCTTATGTGATTATTTGTTTTGATTTTTCATGATCTTGGTTCAATTACTTGTACTAGAGGGTGATACAAAATGATGAGTTTTCAGATAAAAAACCACACAAAATTGGTTTTATACCATTTGGTAGAAAATATATGTTCCCCACGGCAGTAAATGTAGTTCAACTGCCATGGCTATGAACTATCAGCCGCGGCAGTCAATCTACTACTTATTTGCCTGATAAAAAGAATTACTATTTTATCTTCAAGCGGCATGGAAAGTTGCTCTCCTCTGACACTCAAAAGGCACGAAAGGTGTACTTTTCTGCCAAGGATGTGAAAGTTTGTTACTATGCAACGTTTCAAGTGATTTGAATGAAATTGGTTATCAGACTTTCATTGGGCGAATACGAAATGATGGATCATCCAATCAAATAATTGATCAAAATTGGTTTGATAACGTTTGAATAAAACAATGTATGTTTCATGGCAGCAAATGTAGATTGACTGCCTAGTGGAACAAATAACTATTACCGACTTCGTATACTAATGATTTTTTTTTAGTTTGAATCCTCATTCTTCCGCATACAGTTTCGTTCTTAAAGTTACAAGTTCTTGCAAGTCTTGTGGATGAAACATTCTGGCGTACTGAGTGCAAAAAGAGTGTAAACTCGGAAATCTCAGCAGTATAATTTATTTCAATAGCTGTAGGCTAATATCAGAAGCCATTGCAAGAATAATTTTCATCAATTGTTGATCGTTGTTTCTGATATTTGTATTCCAGCTTGAAATGATATAAGCTTATATTCAAATACTATAAGTAAGCCATCAAATGAACTCACCAGATCTGTAATTCATTCGCAGATTGTCAGTGTTTATTCTCATTTTGTATATGAACATCATGAACAGATTATTCAATTTCCTATCAATTTTCACTAGTATTTATTCTTGTTGCCTAGTTTTGTTGCTCCCAAGTTATTGAAAGAACTATCAATTTTCATTCGATTTTCGTTTTGCGTCATTGGTCTCATTGCACGTTTTCTGATGCAGGAAAATGTTATGATGTGTACTTGTTGGTAAATTAACTATATTTCTATCACAGTTATGAAGCAGAAAACGGCATATCAGCGAGAGAACAGGGCCGTCAAAAAGCTGCTGAACTAATGGAAGCACAGGGCGAGTTCAAATTCACCGCACTCGATGGTACTCCAATACAGCTCACCTACATTGCCAACGAGAATGGATTTCAACCTCAAGGAGCCCATTTACCAACCCCACCTCCAATTCCAGATGCCATTTTGAGGTCTCTTGAGTACAATGCCGCTCACCCCGAAGAAGAACAAGAAAGGCCATTCCGCCGACCATAAGTCATTGTTCTCAATGTTTAATTTTCCTGTTGTTACGGTATAATGATACTTCTGAATGTGATTTTATGTAATATAGCATTGCGATTTGTATATAAGTTTCGTATCGGAAATATGATGTGCATTTGAAAATAATAGTGATTTTCTTTCAACTTCCAAATCAGGAGGTTATCCACACTCTTTAATTATTTCATCTATTATATTCAGATTCCCTATTCTATTATTTATTCAAGGTTGTCAATCTTCTCTTCGTAACAGAGATTCATGTCAACTGATTCGAAATGAATCAGGGATTTTTGATTGAAAACAATAATGTTCAACCGACGGAGGCGATCCATCTTTCAGTGGAGTGATGACAATAGGAGGAATTCGTATGATCAATGGCAGTTCTTCAATAATGTTCAATTTATTGCGTATGTGTGATATCTTCACCCTTCAAAATTCAGAACAATGTTATTCAGGAAACCGTTATTTTCAAATCGGTGAGAATAATCATGGTGGATCCAGTATACCGATTGGGAAGGTAAAACTTCTGAGAGAGCATCTTTAATCCAAGTTATTATTCTATTCATGAAAATCATTGATTGCATATTATATTCGCGAGATTCACGGAATAGGCGACATCTAGATTACATAATACGAATTTCAAACGGGGGAAAGGAAACTGTTGTCTATGGATAAAGTGCATAGACTGAATTGCATTCAGCTTGCTGTAGCTGTAGTGAAACTTGTCAATGACATAAAGTGTTGACACTGTTGGTAGTGATGATGGTTGAATTGGGTAATTTTTTCACATTTTCACAGACAGTATTTAACATTTCTATTACTTCAGTGAACAGTGAACGGGTGAAGAATTGGAGATAGTTCAAACAATTCAAACTAATTATGACGAGCAGATGAATTGACATATAAAAGAACAGCTACAATATGTTAACAGTACCCAGATTGTCCTGCTTTGCATGAACAAATACAAATTCATTGTTCTACAGGAGTTCCTCTGGAAACCAACTTCAATTTTACTTCATGTGGGAAACATTTCATCGCCGAAGTTTGTAGACAAAGTACAAAAATGTGCCTTTTGTTGAAGTCTTCTGCCTCACACAAAATCACATTATTAGCACGGAGAACTGCTTCTCCTTCCACTACTGGTCGGCTCTTTTCGTCTAAATAGAGCAAAATATCTGCTAAAAGAACATCTACAACAGGCATTATTATCGCTTTCGATCGAATATTGACAATAATTATTGTCGAGAAATGTGAAAACTTATCACTCTTATCAGTACACAGTACACAAGCTAATGGCACTAATGGGATTGAATGAGTATTGAGTTTGTTTTCCCTCTTTTTTGTAGTGGCTTTGACATGAAACGATGAAAACCAAGCGCCACCTGGTAAATTGATCCCCGCGAATACACGGTGGTGTAGGATTGTCTCCGAATATTTCAGTGGTTGAGGGTACATCCATTGAGAAATGAATATACTACTTTCTATGAATTGTATAATGAAGCAAGTTTTAGAAATATTCGTAGTTTTCTGACTTTATGATCAATGAGAATTGTTGAGTTTTGGTGTTCCATTTTTGGAAATGAGTCTCAAGGGAGATGAATCAGCTTGCAAGAGAAAATGATGATGAGCAGTTTCACAAATTGTAAAAATTCATATTGGATATAAGATGATTCTCAATTCGATCATTATCAAGTTGACTATACGAAGACATACTCCGCTTATTCATTAGTAAGTATACACATTATTAAGATAAATACGCGAGAAGTGCAGTTTTTTGTGAAAATCATTGCATTGCAAAACTAGAACCATTTGTGGTAGGTACAGGGACATCGGTCTTCTGCATATTTTTTTTGCTAGATGAAAGTGGCTCATTCTCCTTTTATTTCATCAAGTTCAGTGTGTTGGGATGGAGCAAAATAATTTTCTCTCTTCCACTGCCATTATTTTGACATAACATTGCCATAACTTCCATCATAAAAACAAAAAAAATCACAACACATTGGCACAGACCGCACGAAACACATCCGAGAATCGTTGATTTGATGTTGCCAGTTCATGCTATTCGACAAAATTTGTCTCATGCGGGGTTGAAGTCGGGAGCAATCGAGTATATTACATTCACACGTTGTGCGAAAATTCATATCAACATGAATGTCGAATTCTACATATTTCTTTCGACATCCGAGAATGGGTCCCCAGGTTGGCATCTGGCGGCCCATATACCAATTTTAGTGTAACTCCACGTTGGCTCCATATGGCACTTAATCTGTTAATATGAATTATTCGAAAATGAGGAAATAGTGTCATCTTATTTTCTAAGTTCTCATATATAATTTGCCCATAGGAAATTTTAGAGAATGATCAGGAAATACTACTTGTTGAATGATTTTTTTCGGCGTTATATAGGTATCACGCAAAATATTTTGCCTTGATAGTACAAACGTTTTTGGTAAAATCACATCTACGCCAGTCAAATCGTAGATAAAAATGGCTGAAATCGCAAAGCGTGATGTAGTTCGAATTTTTCAATATATCGTAAGGACCAGTTGGAGTGGTATGACTGTGCTCGCTCTGTGATACGTGGAAAACGTCAAAATATCAGTAACTCTTTCAGATGTAGTGTTATAACTCTTATGCGTTTTTTTATTTAAGATGTGATAACAGTTCTTGAAGTCAAATGAATTTTCAACAGTAACAACCAAATTGCAACTCTGTATATCACATAGTTCTCGGGATGAAGTACTTCGAAAATCTGCAAATCTTTGTCAAAAATATGAATTCTTCGTTATGCTTTTGTTTCGGGCCGAACTCAACCTACGAAGATATTCTCAGGGATGAAGTTGAAGTGAATTTTCATAGCTTATATTTGAGAACAAGTGGAGGTCTCCAAATCTGATAGTTTTTTTTTCAAATTGTGAATAGAAGAGGATTTGGAAAATTGGATTGTTGAAGAAATGAGCCTAAATAGTTCTGAATACAATATGTCGGCATTTTACTCGTAACAAAATACTTGGAGGTGACGGAATATATTTTTGTGTTTATATCAACATAGAATCTTACAAATTGAGAATTTGAATCGGTCAATTCGAGTTTTTTTGAGGGACCTGGTTGATCACGTTCTCATTCCCTGACTGAATGAAGTTCATCTCAGCCTGCTCTTTCGAAGGTATTCATTTGAGGTTGTCTCTATATTCGGGGGTCAGAAATATAGCGAAGTTATATGAATCATTGTATCAATGCTGGAAATTATGCGAAGATATTCCTAGGAGTAGATTTGTGGAAATGGTATAATGCCAAGATTAACATCGACAGTGTATCAAGTTCTTCTGTTTCCAATCTCAAAGCTGATATTGAAGTTCCAGCTGATATCATTTGGAATAAGTTTCCATTCACCACTCTTTCAAGATATCCAACGGAGGACATATTCATTCATATACAATTGGTGAAAATATAGAGAATGATGCCCTAGGCATCATTGAAATTGTTGAAGTCAATTCAACAGTTACAACTGTGAAACCGCTTCGAAGAGCTCATCAATTTGTGAACAGTGATCATATCAGTGATATCCATGATAGTGATGGAGATAATTCATTTTTTGCTATATGTAAATGTCTCTCTTCATTCCAAAAACCGTACTGTACAATGTAACTGTAATTTTGAATGAAACATCTGGGGCAGTAATAAGAGGTATATGTGAATGCAAACAATCTACACTAGGAAAATGCAGTCACATAACAGCTATCCTTGTTTTTATTTGGATATTTGGAACCATACGCCTATCCTCTTCAAGTCAGCCAAGGCCGTGAGGCTTTGGGGCATTGGGGCAAAAAAACGTGATCCAGTTGCTGTAGCAACTGAGGTATATCCTATGAAGAGAAGAGATATTAACCTACAGAGAGATATAAACCTACAGAGAGAGCATCATTTTATCCTCGCGCAGATGACTATGTGAGAGAAGTCAACTTGAATAACTTTGTAGCAAATTTACAAAATATTGGTCAGAGTTCACCTGGAAGCTCCATGTTCCAAACTATAATGAAGATCAAGTATGAAGAGTTTCAATATTGTATAGGAGAACTCGATGTCATCAAAGTTCTCACCCAAAAACTTTCACAAAATATCAGAATCTTCGTGAACAAACAAGGCAGTACTCTATTTGAGATAAATCAATTCAAACAAGGTTCTGAAAACTGGCTAAGATGGAAGACTTATTTCATCACTTCCACTAGTGCCAAAATTGTATCAACTCAATGACATAAATAGTGCAAATGCAAAAAAGAATTTTCTGTACAGAATTTGTGGAGAGTGACCAAACCAATTGAGACAGTTGCAATTAAATATGGTGAAGTTGATGAAGCAAAGGCACGCCAAAAAAATGCATCATTATTTTTGCAAAAAAAAAACAAACACTGATGGAAGTAGGCCTGGCTGTGAATAAAATGAATATAGAAATAATCATCCCTATTTATTTCAAATGATGATGTCTATAATGATTTTCGAAACATGATGTGTCATTTACTGATATAGAATCCGCATTGTATGGTGATGATTCCAGTTCATGAAAAGGACAACTCCACCAGTGTTGATTAGATTGACAGTTGCAATTAAATATGGTGAAGTTTATGAAGCAAAGGCACGCCAAAAAAATGCATCATTATTTTTGCAAAAAAAAACAAACACTGATGGAAGTAGGCCTGGCTGTGAATAAAATGATTATAGAAATAATCATCCCTACTTATTTCAAATGATGATGTCCATAATGATTTTTGAAACATGATGTGTCATTTACTGATATGGAATCCGCATTGTATGGTGATGATTCCAGTTCATGAAAAGGATAACTCCACCAGTGTTGATTAGATTGATAAAAATATTGTCTTTCCTTATCAGAACATTTATGTCCCTGAAATGTTCATTTTTCGAACTATAAGAGATTTGTCATCAATTCCATCAGCGTGAAACGGAACAGGCATTTGTTAATGGATTCAAATCAATAATATAATGTAAGGAACTTTTGTTTCATTCGAGAGAAACATCACAGAATGAATTTTACAGTTACCATGGGTAACTATAACTAGGTACTAGATCGGTTCCAAGATTTACTGAAAACATATTTGATGGTAGACATGCTTGATA